CTGTCTAAAATTCATAAATGGTTAATAGGAATAAGTCAGTACATACTAAGATGGTTAAGTTGACATCGAATAGGTATTTTGATATATAACAAAAACTAACTGAACATGAAGATATGTGCCGTTGAATTTTCATTTACTCACTTTTAAAAGTATCATTTTTATCATGCGACGTGAAGATGGTGATTTTAATTCAGTGTTGAGTCACAGGTAAGCAATACAGAAAAATCACGAACTAGATATGTTAGTAATTAAATTCTTAGTTTCGATAGTCCTGAAGTTGTTGTTAAGTTTTTGATGGAGATTATATTATATGACAAGTAATTTATATATACATGCTTTTTACATATTTGAAAATTATATTTATCATAGGTTAATTCCATTTCAAACGAATAATCAGCGGCCTGCTTGAATGTCTGAGCTACCTGTTCCTCCCATCTAAATATTTCGACACGTTATCTGTTTTCTTGTTTGTTTCAACACATCACTAAGTCTATTGAGCGCACAACCTATTCAGGTGCGTTTATGAAAAATTTACAATCTTTCGCTGTACAGGTTACAAAAAGGTACAACCAGAGACATTAAGTTGGCTGGCAATATGCATTGAAACTAATGAACATTATTTAGATGTCGATTACCTAACTCCTAACATCTAACTGGTTATCACTCAATATTTATTGTCAGAATCGATCAAGAAATAAGAAAAGGAAACTTGTTGAGATACTTTACGCTGAGAATTTTATATTGTACCAAAAATATAATATTGAATAAAGCTTATAATAATAATAACGACATGTATGATAAAAGTAGGTAAAATATTCACATATTTTAGTATTTCGAACATTATTCTTAAAAAAGACATTTATATAGTTGCTTGTGTCAGTAATAAAGTTTAGAGCATTTCATTTTCCTCAATCATAAATTCTTGAATACCGATTCGTGACACATTTGCTTTGGAAGTCTACAAAATTTTGTCTAAGAACCAGTTTGTGAGGATTTTGTTGACTCCTAACATATTGACAGTATCAAGGAGGGCTTAAACTTTGTTCCTCAATCATGCATACCATTATCAATTTAATCAAAAGTACGACTTTCAAGTATCAGGGGGAAAACATTCGCCATCAAAAATCCGTATAAAGATATAGTTGTCTACTTTCCAACTTCAAATAATTGCATCAAAGTAGGGTTACGATTTGCTTTTTCAATGCAAGCGATTACGTCATGTAGGTCCCAAAGTGCGTGTTGCTAATGCTAACACGATTACCCTGTAATGAGTAATTTTTGTCGTGGTGAAATCAAGCAATAAATATATACAAATGCGGCCGTTTTTCCGTGTTCAGTAAATATGCGGTACTTTTGAGAATATTTCCAGTAAATATGGCAGTGTAATTTTCCTTGGAGTATTTTTTACTTTAAGCATCTCAAGTTATCTGCTATAAACACGCCAATGTAATACATCCAAAAAAACTGGATGAAAAACACAAATATGTTGAAAGTTAGAGCTTCACATGAAAAATCCAGTGCAATAAATTAACTGAACAGTGAAAGCACCCGTACGCATATAGATACACATCATTATTTACTTTCATGTTTTTCTATCAGATATTCAAATGGGTTGAATTGATAGTTAAAACAATTTGTTTAAAAAAAGGAAGTCATCAATTACAAGTGTTTTTCATTTCATTCAATATTCCCACTATTTCTTTCTTCCCTGATCTTTTAAAGGGGAACTACAAAATGAAATTTAACTGTAAGTATTGTTTTCACATAATTATAATCAAGATTGTTTATATTATTATAAGAGAAGAAACAGAGGAAGAAGAAAAGAAACAACAACAGCAGCAAACACTTAACTTGAATAGAAAATACAAAGAAAAACATCACACAAAAATATTCCAAATTATTAATCATTCAATAAATTTACTTTCTAGTTAATTATGAATATAAAATAGTCGGAATTGTGTTCCAATTTTTATCTTAGATGAAAACAAGAAGAAAACAACTAACAAACTGATCACTAATTTCTTATGCAGCAATATAACTACATCCATTTGGCAATTTCTTAATAGAGCAAGAAACGCATCCTGGATCCCATTGCTGAACATAATCTATTCATTCAGTAAAAACGCTTGTGATGGAATGTTAACGTCAAATCAATCTCCAAAGGATGTAGATATGCTGACAAAGACTGAACAAAGGATGGTTTAAATTCTTACTAACAACTTATAAAACGTAATAATCCTGTTTTAACTAGTAATTGTATTACGGAAAATTAATGGTTAATTAGTGAGAATTATTTCACGAAATCATGATTTTATATAAAAATGTATTGATTTCATGTAAATTAACTTTCAAATCGGTGTAATGAACCTGGAAATTTATGTAAACTTTCAATAGTCAGTCATATTAGAGTAACAATTAATCAAAATATTTCGAGTTATAAAAATCTTACTTTGTGAAGGAAATCTTAGGAAAGTAACATATGAAACTATAGATTTAAGTAACTTTGTTTGATATTCTAATCAAAACTTTGGTTTGCGAATGAATTATTCATAATGATAATCTTACCAGTCTTAAAAGTCACATGAAGTACGGGGTTAACAATCGACGAACAGCTACTTTGAATTTGATTAGCCATTTTAAACAATTTTTCAGGAAAACTTAGACCGCTTTTGTATTATTTGCATAATACAACGACTGTATACAAACAATATACTCATTACAGTGGTAACGATTGCATTGATTATTAGAAGCTTTTACTTCTGTATGTATAAAATTATAATAATAACTTAATTCGTCACATATATTTTGATGTTGATTCCGTTTGTTTAGAAAAAATTCTTCAAATAAATGTCATATCACTTTGATTAACATTAATAATTGTTAATCAGTAAATCAAATCGACACCCTTCTTTATTATTATTATTTGAGCACATAAATATTGGTACAAGAGAGCGCCAATATATATGCGCCACACAAAACAATGAAAATTCGAAGAGAGATAGAAAAAAAAAACTAAGGAGCACAAAAGAAAAAGAGAACGATAACGAAGAGATTGGTGTAAGGTAGTGTGGTCGTAACGATGGAACGGAAAGGTATGATCAGAAGAAATCTTTCAAGTAAGCTAGACACAACCACTTTTTATGAAGAAAGTAGAAGAAGGTTACAGCAGGATCGCCACTGGCTTCTATTCTGGGCCATATCTGATAACGTCTCTAGCCACTGTGTAGCACCATCTCTCAGACCCCAACCAGGGAGTCGTGAAGGACCGACAGAAGCCAGTCCTTTGCAGCTTTCTTTCATACCACGAAACCATGTCATGCACTGACCACCTCTCCGCTTTTTCCAACCAGTCCCAGCGTCGGCAAATAATGCACGACGTGGGACGACATTCGTAGAACATGTCCAAGCCACCGAAGTCGGTGTTTCAAGATGGTGACACCAATTGAATTATCATCTCTGTGCCCAAACACGCGATGCCGAACCTCTGCATTACTGACATGGTGTTGCCACTGAATGTCAGCAATCCTTCGGAGACAGCGATGATCGAACACAGAGAGTAGTCTAACATCCTCAACTCGGAGGCCAGGTTTCACAAGCATAGAGCAAAACTGCTCCAGGAAATTCCTCTTGAAGTCAGTCACTAATGAGATGATTATTATCAGAAGGGGTTTTGTGGAGGTCCTGAGTCCGAAACTCGCGGGGGACGGGATCATGGATGCGCACTGCTGAGGAGCCCCATACTGAAAACAAACGGCCGTCCAGCGCTTCCAGGTTTTCCATGGTGGTCTAGCTTCAGCTGACTCATGATTTTAACCATTGAAATTACTATAATCTCCACAAAACCCCTTCTGATAAAACAAAATCATTTAACGTCAAGTCGTTTACCTAATCTAACAATACGAAACAGTAAATCAAAGAAAATTTTGAAAAAGATATATTGAAATACATAGTAATATGTTAAGTGAAAATAAATAAAAAGTAATGGGACGTTAATAATTTGGACAAGCTCATATACGTGTCCCACTTTAGTCAATTTTCAGCTATGTCAATTAAATATTCAGTGATTAGCCTAGATTACCAATCAACGACTTCAGTGACTGGTATAATATAATCGTCTGACCAATAAACAGATTTCCTCTAACTTCACGTCAACTAAGAATTAATCATCTGAATAAATGATGAATCGACAGCAACATATAACTAAGCCGTCCTGATAAATTCATTCTCCTTGATTAGAAAAATCATTTTCTTGAGATAAATAACTTAATATCCTTGTGATTTTATGTTGCCTTCCTTTTCTCATCTAGTAATATATATATATACCAATTGATCACGAGAGATTTACCCTAATGTTTACGGCCTAATTGTTGTTTGTTTCTATTCTAGTCATGATTAATTAACTAATTATTATTATACTTATAAATATTTCTTTGATGAATCTTGTGATTTCTGTTTGGTTATTTGTTTCTGGCTGAAAATAAGTATTCACGTATGTTGTACGAATAATTTATGAGAAAAATGCCTTCATCACAAGATAATTGAATTTCCTTGTGAAAAAAAGCAAGCTAGTATGTTTGATTATTGTATCTATGAGTTGAAGAATTTTAATTCTTGCCTAAAAGTACCTACACATTCCTTTCTTAGATTAGTGAGAATTTTTCTCTTAAAATGAGTGTTTTGTTGTATCACATGGATTCTTTAGGTATGTGAATTATGATTATGTAAAGTGGAAACAGATGATGCTTTTTCCAAACAATGACTTATTAACAAGATGCACTATACTGGGCTTGAATTCAGTGCCGGATTATTCAACAGATTACAGTAGTTCCCTTTGATGAGTTCTAATAAATATGAAATTCTTTCCAACATCCTCGCGTACTTTACTATAAGTTGATTATATTCTATATTTATGCAATAAAACTAAGTTAAATGAAATATTAGTTTCGCTTATGATTCGTTGATTCACAATCAATCATAAAAATCGCTGGAATACAACTCCATTATTCAATTTGATTATATATTAGTAGAATTGCCAATACATGTTTTTATCTTAAAATACTTGTATTAATGAATAAAAATTCTTTGAAAACTTATTATAATTTTGGATCTAAAATTCACAATTAAAAGTTGAATATTAAATATAAAAATGACAGATGATAAATCATCAATGAGTATTCCAAGTTAACGGTAACATTGAAGATTGTATAAAACAAGAAAAAACAATCATAATAACAGCTGTGGTGACAATAATAATAATAATAACGATAATAATTATAATAATAGATCATTTCAGAAGAACACACGTTCAGCTGCTGTTGCCTCAAGAAACGGTGATATTGTTGCTGAACTGACAAAATAAAATAATATACCACATGTTATGGATATTGGTAAAGCTGGTAATGCTTGTCGTGTAATTCCCAATACTATAACAGTAATACACATTCCAACTAATATAGCCACATAACATGTGACTACAGTGACTGCATCGCCATCAAGTGTTGCACGACCAATCAATAGACTATAAAATACAAAATCGCCTAAACCAAGTTTTACACCTTTTGAGTCACGATCAATTAAATCCGCCTGTTAAAATAATAGTCAGAATAGGGTAGAGGTAAATATCAAATGCACATTAAACATTGAAATGAATATTGATAATAGTTAAAAACGATTGAACCTACCAGTCGTTATATCCTTACAACGAATGATTTCAACAATGTTTAATAAGAAAGATAATAAATAAATGGATTATGGTTTGATTTGACAATGTCTTCGATTTATTATGGTTAGGGAACAGTATTAATCAAAATATAGTAAAGCAGCTCAAACGTAACTTGTGTGTCTTCCAGGGAACCTAAAGTATTAAGTTTGGTTTCAAAAGAAGTATAGAGATGATGCATACTATTGAGCGGTATTCATTTCTAACTGGGACTCACCTAAGTAAATGCATATTGATAAGGTAAGCTTCCCAGTATAAATCTTATTTCTTCTAATCATTCGCACCTTAGGCCAGAACAAAGTTAAATTAATTGCCTATCATCATATTCACCGACGTTCAGATCGTGATTACAATAGTCACTCAATGATCCTATTGTACTTTCATGAGTAAACATTGTAACTGTGAACTTCAACACAGATAGTGATATGACCAGCATAAAATGATTTTAACGCACATGTAATAAATCAGCCAATAATCCAATCAATGAATAATGACATAAAGACAATCTTTTCTTATTGACTGAATACACAAATAATAAAGATGAGTTGTACAGTATGTAGATGCCATTTCACCCGGTGTAAATTAGAAAATGTTTCTACGCAACTGAGAAACCAAAAACGGATTTGTAAATCCGGATTTAGATTTTTTAAACCTAAAATTATCTAGTTCTTTTTATATTTCATTAATAAATCGTCATTATAACGTGCAAAAACAACCTTGACAATTTTTTCCGCGTCATAATACCCCACCAACCTCTGTTGCTACCGGATTGGTTTTCGCTCTTAGTTTATTATTTTGTTATTTCAAGGTCACGGCTATTGCTACGTAAACTAAGTTGTTTCATTGCAGTCACAACATACTATAATATCAAGCAATTTCCCTTCTTCACTAAAGTAAGGGATTATTGTTGAAGTTTTGAGTATCCATTGTCCCGTCTATGCAGCTCTCATTGGCTCGGTTTCTTATTAGTAGAATCGTTCAATCGTTCGTAATTCAGAATTACTGTGAATTACTTCACAACGGAACCAAACCAGATACTATTCAAAAGAGCCAATAACATCGCATAAATTTATTAAAATTGAAGATGAAACAGGGTTCGAACCTGAGACTAAGTACTCGAAAGTTAAGTACTTACATAACCAAACTATTATTCAACAACATACAATTAAAAAATACTATAACTTTCTCCCAAATCTTGAATATATATATAATCGAATTTCTATCAGTTAACTGTATTTTATTGAACTAATTAAATAGATTTAGATGAATGTGTCCAAATTGTGGTCTGAACAGATTGTAATAATTTAGCAATATGTTATTGCCTTTTTCCAACAGTTGTTATGAACCGAGTTAATTTCATGATAATTTTCTGACTGGTCAATGAATACATAAATACATATACACAATCTGAAAAATATTTAAATGGCCTACGTAATTACAATGACGTAAATTTTTCAAGCCACATTTCACATGAATTCGTAAACATATAATGTATGCTGACAAGTGATAATAATAAATAATAACAATAATAAAAGCGCTAGACTAACCCAAAAACAAATTACACAATATGGGGAGTTAACAAGAGTTAAACATATGGATAATGCCCCAGTAGTTTGAAGGTTGAGCGCCTGAGGTTCTTGAGTTCGATCCACAGTAGGGCAAGGGATGTGCACTCATAAAGAGCTCCATACTGGGGCGAAGTATTCGCCCAATGCTTCCTAAATTTTAGTGGTTGTTTTGTTTAAATCAATGCGTACTTACGCCTGTTCCCTCGCAGAAGAGTATAGGTCGTCCACCAGCGTTCTCCATTTAACTCTGTCCTCGGCAATTTATTCCAGTTCCTTCCGATCCCCGATGCAGTGTGACCTTTGGTCTTCCTCTTTTCTGTTTCCCTTCAGGATTCCAAGTCACCGCTTGCCTCATGATGCAGTTTGATGTTTTCCGTAATTTATGTCCCATCCACTTCCAGCGTCTTTTCTTAAATTTCTCCTCAGATGGAACCTGGTTTGTTCTATCCCATAGTAGGCTGTTGCTGATGGTATCCGGCCAATGGACATTCAGTATCTTGCGTAGACAATTGTTTATAAATACTCGTACCTTTTTGATGATGGTTGTGGTAGTTTTTCAAATTTCAACTCCTTATAGTAGAAATGTCTTGACGTTCGTATTGAAGATTCTGACTTTGATGTTGGCTTGTAGACAATTGTTTTGAGTTTCATATGTTCTTCAACTGTAGAAATGCTGCCCTTGCATTTACGTTTGCATCAGATCCTTTCTATTCATCAATGGTGTTGACAAGGTACGTGAAACTTTCCACCAGTTTCAGAGCTTCCCCATTGGGTTTGATTGGCTTGGTGTTCTGTAATGTATTTGGGGATCTTGCCTTTTCCTTTGTATATGTTGAGATCTACTGATACAGAGGCTGCCGCTGTTGATGTTAATCATAAAATTCAACAATCTCTACAGATATGTTTATTATTACCTTTAATCTTGAGATGGCTTTACTAAAGACGCAGTTGGTTGAACTAATAACTAGGATACAGATCAGTAAACTGACCATTTGAAAAGCACTAACTAGTATCCTTCGAAACCTTAGAAATCTGACTGTCAGGAACTCTTACAGCCCTGAGCTATTTTACTAAGTGATGGTTTCGCAAACTTTGGCAAAAATCAAAACTTCAAAGAAAATGGCTGGAGATTAATTTCCAAGTGTAACTTGAAGATTACAAAAAGGCCAGGACTTTTCACTTTTAATTTGATAACCACCCGTCGTATAACAAAAACGTATGACAGGATACAGTACAATACAATACAGATTTGCGTTCAATGTCATTTAATAAATGCTAAAGCAATGACTATACGTAAACAGTACGAGATGATTGTATGTTTCAAATCATACCCGGTAACAATAGTGGGAAAAATAACAATATAGTAATCTGATAATGAAAATTAATTAGAGAAACATACTAGATGGTTTTTGATTTGTTCATTAGAGCTACTCATTACACAGTGAATAGTTGGTTAAGTCACCAAGAAGCAACCAAGAATTTGAGGGAAGATTAAAATAAGATGTCATTTAAATATCATTTATAGTTCTATCTTTTAACAAGATGGATTTTCTGAAATATTGAAAAATCAAGGATATAACCTGGATAGATTTACAACAAATCTACTATGTCGGATTTCTTATCTGCATGTTGTAAGAACCGACCAAGTATCTGTCATTTGTATCATGAATATTCAACATATTATATACTGAATGGTGTAGCATTGTGGATCATTACACATTTATGTGAAGTTCTCAAATAGTTGTGCTGAATAAGATTTTGAATTTTTGTGAAAATATACGACACAATGAACAAATACAGATATATTATTTGCGTCAGCATGCACAGGCTAAGCAGTGTGATGTGATCAATAGGCAGACCGAAACGACTGCATGTGGTGTATGCTACTTATGCTCACAGATATAAAGTAGTATGTATCCGCAATCCGAAGTGGAATGCCTGGCAGCAGAAGATTGAATTAAAGGGAACAGAAAGGAAACCGGAGAGCAATCAAAGTAACAACACAATCTGAGGGATAATGAAGTAGGCGAAGAACAACGCAAAGAATGTATCTAATGTATGATTTCCATATTTTACTAAGGTATTGTGAAATTTCGCACTAAAATGTTGGTTTTCCCTATCAAGTCTTCGTTCACTGCCATACTCTGCTTTTTGTTAAGTTATAGAAGAATGTTGACAAATGGAAAATACCGTATTAGTCAATCCATATAAAATGGTTTTGACTATCAATAAAAATCATGACGACGACTTTAATCAATGTAAGGGTATTGACCGATGTAAATATGAAGTTACGTAGTAATAATTACAATAAACTGATGTATAAAAAAGCAACATACTTGCAGATCTTGCCAACGACTAAGCCGACCTGCTACAAGTGTATCTGTTTCATGGGGTGCCTGTGATATAGTTTCATTATTACTCTTGGCATCATTATTACTCGTATTGTCATCAGGAGTATCAACTACAATTACGTCAGTTCCGGACGTCTACAACAACAAACATTAAAAATAACAGCACATCAATTCAGTTCATATGCACAATTAATTAAACGAACAATAATTCAGTCAGTAACAACGTAGAACTTCGTACGTACGTACATCAGTTCGAGTTGCCAAACCACATCAGCACAGAGATGCAGTGGCCGATTTAAATCCCGTAATGCTAGATGTAGTAAAATTATAAGCTATAATCAGAAAATTAGGGTTTGAAGATGTTATTCAAGGAGTATAATTCAGTGAAATAAACTTGGAAAGAGGAAAAAAGGGACATGAAGAATTCAGAAGATTAGAATTTGGGAGAACACAAAGAGTGGATGCACCTGCACCATTGCAAACGATTTTGAGCCATGCCATTCAGGGTCTCTAACCATCGGTTGCTATCATCTCGCGGTCCCCAACCACGTAGTCTACACCTACCAACATGACTCAGTCCACTTGTCAGTGACTTTATGGATTTGTCCCATGTTTTGGTCTGGCCGAACCTAGCTTTCCTCCAACTTCCCCTACACCATAAAACATCGCTCGTCTGGGTAGTAGGTGGTTTGGCATACGTAACACATGTCCCAGTCATCTCAACTGATGAAGCCTAACTACTTCATCAATTGATTTGTCATCCTTACCTGTTACCCGTTTCCCAACAACTGCATTACTTACTTGGTGGTCTCAGGATATACGAGCAATGCTTCGAAGACACCTATGATCAAATACTAGTAACATACAAATATCCTCTACTCTTTCGGGCCATGTTTCACTGCCTTAATCTAGGACGGAACGAACTGCTGCGCAGTAAACACGTCCTTTGGTTGATAGACGGATATCTCACCTACGCCATAAATGACGCAAGTTGGCAAAAGCTAGTCGAGCCTTCTGTATCCGTGCTGAGATTTCGTCACACACCAGACCACAAGGGCTGGTGAGACTTCCAAGATAAGTGACACGCTCAATTACTTCACTCCCTATCATTAGTTCGGGTGTCGATGCAACCCAATCCTGAAGCAAGACTTTGCATTTTGAGGGAAAGAATCACATCCCGAACATGCTTGCATTGTTGCTCAGAGTGCTCAGAAGACTCTGCATTTTATCAGCATCCTCACCAAACAAAAATATGTCATCGGCATATTCCAAGTCAACAAGTGAACCTCCCGGTAGAAGTTCAACCCCTGGAAATCTAGACGAGGAAAGTGTTATCTCCAAAAGTACGTCGACCACAAAGTTGAACAAGAATGGAGAGAGTGGACAGCCCTGACGAACACCACTTGAGGTAATCAATTCAGTTCGCCATTAGCTCTCACTCGACCAGTTGTGTTCGAGTAGAGAGCCTTTACAAGGTTAATGTACTTCTTTGGTACTCCTTTCAACGACAAACACTGTCATAGAACCTTACGATCAACAGAGTCGAATGCCGCCTTAAGGTCGAGAAATACTACTATTGTGGGGCGTCTAAACGTGTGTCTGTGTTCTAGAACCTGACGTAGTGTGAATATTTGGTCTATACAACCACGTCCAGGTTGAAAATCAGCCTGATTTTCTCTAGTCTGTTCTTCACGAGCTTTGGTTAGGCGTCGAAGTATAATTGAAGCTAATATTTTAGACACTATATTAGTCAAACTGATTCCTCTATGATTGTTACAAGAGGACTTTTGTCCTTTCTTATAGACTGGCACAATCAGTGATTGAGACCAGTCAGATGGAGTTACGTCCAGTTCCCAAATTCTACTTAAGACCTCAGCTAATCTCACTGCTAATACTGGACCACCAAACTTAAAAACCTCAGGAGTAAACCTGTCAGGGCCTGCTGTTCTCCCTCGCTTCAGATTTCCTATGGCTTTTTCAACTTCATAAAGAGACGGAGGACCTACATTAACTTGCCATTCAGGTTGACTGGAGATCGTGGGAAACCGAAGTGTGGCTGAAGGCCAGTTGAACTGATCCCTAAAGTGTTCTGCCCATCGATCCAATCTCCTGGATTGAGAATGAACAATATGTCTATCTTTCTCTGAGTGTTTCCTAATACCGATTTCCTTAACAAGTCTGAACAATTGTCTGCTATTATCTATTGCCGCTGCCTTTTCTATCTCTATTGCTTTCGCTACCCACCACTGTTCACGATCATTGCGTAGACTTCTTGTCAGCTTGCGCTTAAGCTGACTCCGCTCTTCATTATGTTCAGAGCCAGGTGGAATGAGTTTCCGAGCATCTATCAGTGCGATAGATGCTGCTGAGATCCAGTGTCGTTCCCTAACCTTACGGGTTACCGTACTAGCAGATATCACTGCTGTTTCCACAGCTTTACGAATATCATTCCATGCTGCATCGGGGTGGGCATCACATAAATGGCTGCCTAACTGTTTTCCTAGTTGTTCCTGAAATATACTCTTAGCTTGACTATCATTAAGTAGGCCCCTAACAGGTTTCCTTGTAGCGTCTTTCCTACGTCCAGTAAGACGCAGACAGATACGCGCTCGTACTAGAGCATGATCTGAATCTAAGCATGTGCTCCAGAATGAGCGACAGTTTTCTATCGAGCCTCTACATCGGTGGCTGATAGCGATGTGATCTATTTGGGTCCAACGTTGGGACGAATTAGGGGATCGCCATGTTAAAAGATGTTTTTCCTTATGCTTAAAGTTAGTATTTGCAAGAAACAGGCGGTTATCTGAGCTTAGCTGCAACAGATGGTCGCCATTATCTGTTCTTTGATCCATGATGCTATAAGATCCACCCAGGTGTCTTCCCTTATCGCTTAGTTTACTTACTTGAGCATTAAAGTCACCAGCCACTATTACTACATCTAAGCGCCTAGCTTTCAGGAGGAGGTCGGAGAGCTTTCTGTAAAACTCATCTTTTACATCATCTGCGATGCAGTCAGTGCGAGAATAGGCAGAGACGACGAAGAGGCAACGACGAGTGTCTCAATCTTTCCGAATCCTTACTGTACCGTTCAGTCGGACAGCGCACATACGACTGTCTACTAGGATCCACTCTAAGAGAGCTAGTTCTGCCCTGCGTTTCGGAGACGCATCACACATCGATGGCGCGGAATTCTAAAGCCCTAGCTAAGGAAGCCTGCAGTCCTATTTGGCAGTGTTCGGACGTTAAAAGCTCCTTCGTGTAGTTTAGAGTGTGGTTTCGGGAGACCAGGAATAGCGTTCCGCGTACTCGAATCGTTTGCCCTAGCGGTGCGAGATGATAAATAAACGTGAGGAGGGTTAGTCATGGAGATAAGAGTGGTATTAAGAGGTGTAGGAAGGATTTGAATGTGACCAACTCGGTCTCGTGTGCTGCTACGGGTATGAGGGCTGATATCACTTCCCGGCTGCCCACACCATGGAAGGGTATTTCTTGAGGAACCTGAAAAAGAAGTCGGATTAGTGTTGGTTTTAACGACCAGGGAGCATGACCGCAGAGCCCAAGAGATAACTGCTTGAGGTCGGTCGCGCAAGGCCTTTTCGTGGAAGGTTTTTGACGTGTTAGCTCTGTTCCTCAAAGGGCCTTACCGCCCGAGACGAAAATCCATGAGGTAAGGTGAGGTATGACATTTTTAGGATCGACCTTTTCTAATCCCACCCCTCCTTGTTGGAAGGCAGCATTGCTGCAGATGCTGGTTGTCTGGGGGAAACACCTTACTGCTGTCACACCCCTCTACAGTCAGTAGTACGACTTCGCCCGCAGACCTTGAGCTGCTGCTTTTAGTCGTACCGTTCTCCAATCGACCTGCTTGGCATGGTAGAACCTACAGGAACATATGCTCCAGCCAATATAGCTCGGTTGGGTCATCACGATAGGCAAGCCCGACCACCGTGTCAAGGTAGCAGCTTCGGTCGGGAAACGAACAATAATTAGTACTGTTGATCGAGGTGTAGACTACCTGGTTGGGGCCTGCGTGATTATCGTGACCAATGGCTACACTTTGAGCGACTTAGTTCAAAATCGTTTGGAATGGAGCTACATTTACGTTCTATATATGTGGTATTTGGTAGAATGCATAAATGAAATCGAGCATACTTGTTACAGACAAAATTTCGAATGTGGTAGTATTTCTACAGCGATTCTATCTTTTTTTAGTTGAATGACGATAAGCAGCATTACATAAATACTGTTTAGCACTTACTCTACTTATGATATATATTTCAAGCTAGGTAAACGTGAGTTATTTCTACCATATCACTGTTTATACAAACACAATATACTGGCCGAAATATGATTATACTGAGTGGAACTAATGATGAATAGTCAATGCATACACCAGTAAGGGAAATTAGTGACCATTTGCTTTAGTCCACTAGGTAAATCATAGAAATTCGTAGCTAGGTGGATGAAGGGTTTAAGTCTCACTGGACATAATGATATACACTATGATAAAGAAGCACACAATTAACAGCTTCAAAACAGACAAATGCACATCTTGGAAACCAAAAGAACCCATCACAAAAGAATATTAAAATAGGATTGAGAAGAATATCGACGCATTTACATAAAAAGCTAGTGGAAAGATTGTAGGTAATATTTATACTACACTTATGTAGAATCTTTAATGAACTGATTATTTCTTTAATAAATGATAAGATTGATGACGTTGCTAAACATTAGCATAATGTAGTCCATTTTGACTATAATATGCAATGATTTAAAAAATAATCAAAAACAATAAATCTTTTTTCTTTAAATTAATCAATAAGCTGTCTAAAACATCAAAAATTAATTTTCAACAAACACAGTAATGAAACGAAGATTGAAACAATTACTTCTACTTACATTAATAGGGATATTTGACATGTTTCTTGAATTCCCTGTCACTGGCTGGTTATCATTATCTGAAGAAAGAAACAAATGTCAAATAAGTTACTAAACACATAATAGTTAGTATAATTGATACTATAACAAAATGATCGTATTTGTACTAGTTTTTCTATTCCTACAATTTATTTAACAAATGCAGGTTCATCTGGTGAACTTCTAACCATTTCTTTTTCTAATATAAGGACTAAGAGATACTATGCTTAGCTGTTGTCTAAACCCAGGTAATTGGTGGTGGTCGTCTTTGTACAGTCAGTCAGTGGTCTTGAGTACTGTTAGAAGTATGAGGGCGGTTATCACTTCCCGGATTCTGTCACACCTCTGTACTATCAGCAGTACGACTTCGCCCTTGGACTTTGGGTTTGCTGTATTTAGTCTTAGCGCTCTCCAACCGGCCAGCTTGGTATGGTAGAACCTTGAGGAACGATTATTTGGTCCAGTATAGCCTGACTGGTTCATCACGATAGGCAAGCCCGACCACTACACCAAAGTAGTAGCAATGGTCAGGCGTTTTGTGCAGGGTTCTAGTCCGTAACCTACTATTTAAAAACTAAATACTTTCATAAAATTACTTTTTAAAAATGTTTGATCGGATCGTATTCTGGTAGATATACTTTTAGAAAAAAAAAGAGTGCAAGTGAAATGGAACTGAATTGACGCAAAATAACACGATCAAACAAAATCAAGTTTATGGTTGAGGTGTTTTTTCGATAGTTATGTGAAACAGAAACTATGATTTTATACATATATTCATCAATTCAAATAAACCCGTTAATGTCGAATGTGAACATTTACTTTAGCTTTATTATAAATAAAATCATAACTTTTACTAAAAAGTAACGAGACTTATCAATATACACGAACAATTATTGAGAGACAGAAAAATAAAGCCTCATTAATTGGGATGCGACTTATATTTTCTTTTAATTATTACCTAGTTGTTCCTTACCAGGTGATTACAACCATATAAGCATTAAAGTGTAACATAGAGGTACGACATAATGTGAAGCGACAGACATTGATGATGGAAAGAACTTCAGTAGTTCAATTCCATAGGTGTATGTTTAATCTGGTGTTTCCTACCAAGATCTATTTCAAATGCAAACCGAAGACTGATTGAGTAAGCAAGTTATCAAAGACACGTAGATCATCATATCAAATTACTTTCTCCTATAATAGCCATCATATATAGATACAAATTACCACCATTGTATTTAATAGATCGAGTGAAATGTATTTATGTTATACAAAATAAGCAGGATTTAATCATTCAAAAGATAATCCATTGATAGACATCAATTCTATGGATTATTCATCAATGAGATTAGGTCAATTCTAACCCGACTTATTATCCAGCCAAAAGATTATTAACACTTAGTATATAAAATATGGAATAAAAGTAAACATTGCTAGAATTTATAGACTTATCAACAAGCAATGAAATCTGAAAAGTCAGTAAATATTCAATGAACAATTCTATGACACAATTACAAATTTAAATTATAATAAGGTATGACATAATTTGCCTCAAAACCGCTTATAATATTGATATACTAAAAATAATTAACAATAATTTTATAAGCTTACCTGAAACTACCAACTCAGATGTAGTAGGGCAAGATTGTGTAGTACAATTAATATTTGACGCTTCATTCAGAGCATCAACAGAACATGTAATAGTGGATCCAACAAATTGTTGATCATTCTCAACTTTCTCAACTGGTTCATGTTTTTTGACAAGATAAACTGTAGTAGTTGAATATAAAAGGGCAGGGAAAAGAGGTTGTTGTCGTTCATGAGCCATTTCTACAAGCAATCGCAATGGTCCATTTGGACACAAAACAGCTACTATATCTGAAAAGAATATTTTCAGTTTTAGCTAACAGGAAATTAATAAAGGAATATTAAATGCTATTTTAAACAATATAAAATATTACATAAACATATAAGTTAGAAATCATACTAAGACTTAAATACAAGGCTGTATGTAAGTTAGATACTTAGAAGTAAATCTTCGTAAGGTGAATATGATAAGTCTTGTATCTGAACTCTTGAATCTGTTTTCTAAGCTTCTCCAATAACCCCCAAGCTAAATCTACATGACTTGAACACGAGAGAAAAGGAGCGAAGTGTGAAAAGAACGATTCATTCCAAGGTTAGCTTATGCACAGAAAATTGACGGTATTAATAGTATTCCAGATGGCTTTGGGCTTCCTAAAGTTTCTGAAACCATACTACACATAGTAGTACGATAGTCAATCATCCAATCAGAAATGTGACACGTTTTAATCATTCCTAAATCCTTAATTTATATCAAAGTTTTTCCTAATATGATACATTTTGAGAAAAGAAAGAATCCCATCACTGTTTAACATAGATATACACAATAGAGCACACAACCCTTATTTTAAGCTGCACAAATTAATGTTAACTTTTAAATGACCGTATGAAACACTAAAATATGTAAAAATACAAAAAAGTATTGTTCTTTACATTCACCAACAGATACGAAAAATATAATACTTGTATAAAAGACAGATGGAATAATCCCTAAAAATGAAATAACGAATATATATAAACATTAATTTTATTCCTTAAAAACATTAGTAGATGAAAATCGGAATTCGGAACAGGTTAACAATCATAGATTCTTCCGAGTTATTTTAGTAGAAGTATGATTATTTAGTCCATTTCCAATTTTTGTCAATTTAAGACCTACAGTCACACTTTCGAAGTGATTCGCTCTTCCCGTCGCATTCTAAGATGATGAAAGCTACCTTTAAATAATAAAGAACCCAAAAAACTATTTAGTCTACTGATTATAATTACCTAACTAGTAAATAAACCACATTGGATTCTGTGAATTACTATCATGACGTTTTGACGGATAGAAATCATCCAAATCAATTACTCAATGATGATATTAAAGACTGAGCTATGTTGCGAATCGAATGAAACTTTGAGTATATGGGCCTTTATATCTCTATTAAGCAACTAAAAAAGGTAAGGTATTCACCGTAAAACATGAAGAACTTGTGTTTGGTCAAATATAACGTTTGAGACATTTAATGCTGTGAAGTTACGTACTAGGATGAATGATTTATATGAATATTTGTCAGAATTCGAACAAATAATCTGATAGAAATTGGGACTAAAGTATATTTAAGAGATCAGATTTAAAAGCATACTTGAAGTAATCTCAGAAGAAGTGTGGACTAAATTGCTGCACGAAAAGTTGTTAGATAATTTTCAATCGCTGAGATTATTTCAAGTACATTTTCAGATTTAATGTCTAGGAAAAATAAGCTATCTACCGGTTCTCGATTTAACAATCGGTATCACTTTATGGTAAAAAAGAAACCATTTATGTTTAATAATTAACCCATAAGGCTATAAATGTTCAATCAGTGCTAAAAGCAGGTTTCCCGAATTCCTCTTATTTTTAGAAAATAAACTATAATACGACAGTATTGTGTGTACAAAAATGCATACCGTACAGTGAAAAACACTGTTGATATCTATCCAGCCAGTTCAAGTACCATTTGCCATTAAGGAAACAAATCCAACCATAATAAGCCTTGATAAAACATTAGTTAGCATATTATCATATGAGAAAATGAAGCCGAGAGAACCTAATGTAGTAAAACTGACCATCAAGTTAAAAAAGCCCAAACTACTTAGATTTTGCGTTTACATACCTATACAAACAACAGATGTTTAAATTACATACATTACTAAAATGCTTTAAATATCTTAGCTACTATAAGCAGTTATTTAAGTAAAAGCAACGTAGAGTGGTACATACAAGTGTGCTTGCTTCAGTTATCCTACTCATAACTAACTTGGTAAAAGAATATCATAAAGATTAAAGTATTAAAATCTATTACAGCAAAAATACCAGGAGAGGAAAAAAGTAGGCGCACATATTCAGTACATTTGAACCACAAATCGATTGTTAATGAGCCAGTGTTCATGACCTGGAACTGGTGGAACTACATCTTTGAATATTATAGGTAGGTCTTGATAATACCATGATATGCGCTTAACTTTGGCATTCAGCATAAGTGGGCAATGGTATACTGTTAGCTAGCACCCAACTAAGCTCAAGTCAAATCTTCAATGTAGGATCCACAAACGACAATGGTTGATATAAAAATATTCGAAATTCATGCTACTTATTAGTAAAGTTAGTAGTACAATGATATATTGATGCAATTATTGGACAAATACGAATGTACGCATCTTTATGATAACGCAAATATTTAGTATAATTGTGTTCTAAACAAAATATATCTGCTTGCATTAAATATATTTACAATAATTTAATCTTTATATTGAAACACAAATTGAAAAGGTTATTAAAGCTATTTGTGCAGATGATTGGATTCCAAAAAATATCTAAACTGTGCGAAAGTTGAAGCACCACATACAAGTGTTATCGACAGAAGTATGAGGTGTAACTCTTAACCTTGCCTGAATTCTATGTTAGTTGTCAAGCATTTTATCTAAAATTCAAGCAATTGAATGGGACACAATGATATGTCTAATACATTCAAACTTGTCTAGAGATGGTGAAGATTTGTAGCTCAGGTGGATGATTTTGGTGGAGTTTTGTTTTCTGAGCTGGATGGTTTGGTCGTGGAGCTTTCATCGTTCTTCTGAACGACATCATCAGCACAAACTTCAGATAGAAGTGAATTGTTCGAATTTCTTCATATGTGTTTCAAAGCTTGTTTTGTGCACCTCGATGTTGATTGGTTCTTGTTGACCTTAAATTTATCATTGTTTACTTCTTTGTTTTGGTTGTGTCTCCCATTGGTTTGATTTTTGTTCCTATATTTATGCATGATTTTCCTGACTGGTTGATAAATTGGATTGATTTCACAGAAACACTCATTGCGTAAAAGTTTCAGACAATCCCATCTAACGTTTAATGGAAGTCGAATATAGTAATTTGACATGACAGAATTTTTTATTTTAAAAAAAATGAATTAAACCAACCCCAAACACTTAACGCTGCTAAAACAAGCCAACACGTCCATTTGGGTAAATATTTTAAAAACATTAATGAAATCTGTGCAGATATAAATATTAAATAAGCTTGTTGTAGAACTAATGGTCCACGCCAATGAATAACTATCATTCCCACAACACCAAAATTCCATAAAGCAAACGCTACCGTAATATAATCAACAAATACACCCATAGCTCGAAGAACTTCACTACAAGAAAATAATAATTATGATAAATATTTTTGATAAAGTATATATCAGCATAAAAGGTAATACGAATTGCATTAATGGAAATGGAAATAAATTTTCTTTACTCTCTACTTGCGACGAAAACTATCTTGAAATTTTATATGGGCACTGACAAGTGATATCAACCGAATAAAATGAATTTACAATAGACAGTAATAAATTGATTATTAGTGGGGAGTTTTGAGATTTTTGTATAAAATGACGATATATTTATCCATGAATTAATATCAATAAGAAAATAATTGAAAACAAAAAATGATTAATTTATTCAGGCCGAGATCCCTTAGTAATGTGAATCCACGACCCTACACAAAATAGAACCTAAGACCTTGATGTTTTCCATCGAACATGTTAGTTTTTTTCAGACTAGTTAGAATCCCAAATAATTCAGTTTTAATTTTAGTCGACTTGTGATACAACACTATTTTCATTCAATAAGACTAGAGGGTTACTGTCCTACTCCCGGTTTGACAGACTATCTTACTACTGATACACAGAACATAAAGAATGTATGTAGAAAAACAATTTCTCAATGATTTTGAATAAATTATTAGTTCGAAAAGATTGCTGTGAAAACAGCAATGCATAACAGAACTACCGAGAAAATGATCAGTGAACAATCATCCTTCTAATTCTCAAACCTTTGAGTCCCCATATAAATAAGAATTGAGCCTATACACTTCGTCAGTCAGACGATATTACAATGTAAGGATAAGCATTTCTTAAGTTTGATTAAATAAAGTACTACAAAGGTTATATATATCCTTCGAAAGACCCAAACAGAGTTATAAGCCACGTGTTGACAACTATTAAACGAATTCTTCTTCATGGATATGGTTGTTTCAAAATTGGGAGAAAGCGAACAGAAAGTTAATACGTGAAAAACAGTTATTCCGCCGTAGTTTAAGATATATTATCTGTTCAAATTTTTGGTTCATTTCACAATATACAAAATGAATGAGCCCTGAATTATATTATTAAATATTTAGTTAAATTTTCAAGTATAGAGTTGATTGTTACGTGCAAAAAGTGCTTCTATTTAATTTCTTATTAACTTCTTTGACTGCGCTGATTTGGATCGTGGTGACTTAAAACGATACCCATTGGTGCCACGTTGCACATCATTAATTAAGTGACCATAATAATTCACAAAATTATCCAGATAGTGTTAAAGAAAAGTTCAATGACTAAGGATAATCAACAAGGAAATGTAGTTGGTTCAGTGCAGCGACCGATCATTATCGAAATGAATAGCTTAGCGGTAATATCCATATAACTGAATAGTTAAAGTAGTTATGAAGCAAGATTTTCATTATTGTTGCATATATGTCTAGTTAAAAGATGCTAATGTTTATAGATTTGAGCAGACTGATTTCATTAATCAAACACCGGTTCCAATAGAATCCCTTATGCCAATGAATACATTGAAACAGGATTGTCAGCCGAATTCAATTAACATTAAAAGCTAAGATCTACGATAACGATTCCTTTCAGTAGTTGACTGGTCATAGCTAACAGTTTAACAATAGTAGCCACAGAGTGAAAGAATTCCTATTCTCACACGAACATCCTAGTATTACATACATTTAATACTGTCCTGAAATCAATAATTTTAGTATTTTGTTTTTGTTAGCTAAGTACTACTGTTTATATGATTATTTTTAACTTAACCGTTTATGATCGTCATAAACGATGAGCACCTACTGAAATGAATGAAATCTAACTTTGAATCTAATTTGTCATAACCTTGGATTCTCCCTGATAATCCTTAAGCCATTCTATGGCCTAGGGTAATGCGATAATCTATTCTTTTCATACGATATTAATTTTTTCCCTCTCCTTTATTCACAATTATTACTTGAACCTTTATTCAATTGACCTTAACTAATTTTCATATAAAATGCCTTGACAAGTATATGTGTGAGCAGATTGTTCAAAATGTATAGCGCAAATAAATAACATTTTTCAGACCAACTGAAATCTCAGTTAATTTCTATTAGAAACACATTTTGTTAATGCTTTTATTCGATGACTTCGTTTTTTCTACTGAACAAATTAATTGGTGACCAACTATCTTATCAAGCTTTCCTTGGTAATATAACAATAATAACTTTTCATTTTCTAATCTGACGTAGAATAAGGAAACACGAGAAACGGTAAATGTAATCGTTTGAAGGTTCCCAAACTATGTTACTTCTTTCTCTATCTTTGTCTACCGTTATTGATAAATGAAAAAAAGGCAAGCATTTTAACTTTTTGATGCAACAATAACAAATTATCACTCACGCAAAAAACATGAAGGATATCAGGAAAAGTAAGAAGATGGTCGTCATAATTATCCAACCCCGAATAAACTACAAAGAAAATAATGTATAAAAGCTTTCAGCAACTTATATATATATATATATATATATATATATATATATATATATATATATATATATATATATATATATATATATATATATATATATATATATATATATATATATATATATATATATATATATATATATATATATATATATATATATATATATATATATAGTACAAGTAACTGTTGAGACATAAATCGTGTCTTTGCAGCACCGAGTAAGCAATACCTGGGTTGAAAATAGGGTACTAGTAACGGATGGCAAATCGATTGATGGGATAGTAAAAAGTCTTCGTTAACCGAGGTAGTTGGGATATTTTTTACGTATATCCAACCAAAGCCTACCTCTACGAGAGATGTCGTCTGGCGTGAGAGTAGGCTGGAAGAAAGCTAGGGACGGACAAACCAAAACTTGACATCAGTTCATGAAGTGACTAACAATTGAACTAAGCCATATTAATAGGTGTAGACAACCTGGTCGGGGTCATTATTATGACCGTTGGTTGGAGAATTTGAGTGACATAACTCAAAATTGTTTACAATTTAACAGGTGCATTTATTTTTGTTTACCACCAAATTCTAAACTTCTGAATCCTTCATAAGTTTCTCTGTTTTTACTTCACCAATTTATAATCTATAGAATCGTATTTTAGATGCCCAATATTTAGATAAATCATTTTGATATTTGTTTCACATCTAAGAATATAATGAGAATTTATGGAAAATTTTGTGTGAAAATATTCATGTCTCACCTTATAACACTGATACTTGAACAGTAAAACAAGGACACATGTCATTACGACAACCACACTCATAAATATCAAAGTATTAGCTATTGTTTGCCATGTTTGTGTCCCAATATCTGCATCTGGAGTATGAAAAGGTGTATACAACAAATACTGATCCGTATGTCCATAAAAGTCAACTGTCGAAGCGACAGCAACAACAAACAACATACAAACTGTCACTGGTATAAATAAACTGAAATGAGAATGTAAAAACGGGAAGTGTAGTTATAAGAAAGAATATAGTAACATTATAATAAAAGAATATTTGGAGATGTTTTTCATCAAAAATTGAAATTTGGTGGAGAGGTACTGAGGACTATGAAGTATTAGAGTAAATTACAACTTCTAGGACTGATCTAATGACCAACACACTACGAAAGGGATATTTACACCAATGATCTCATGAGTCAGCGTTTTTTAAAGTTCAAAACATTTCACCTTTTGGTACGACTGTCTGCTAAATCCATCAATACATGAGTAATTTTACTCATATATATAAACCTGGTGGGTTAGCGTCAAACCCTTTATAATACTCTCTAAATTCGACTAAAAATAAGGTCTTTTTAAATCCTGGTATGTTCTTTGTATAAATTTAAGGATTCTTTTTGGCAAGAACTGCCGGAGGATTTGTCCTTATAAAAAATAAAAAAGTTCCTTTATGATACCCATTATTATGATTCCATGAAATAACTATCATGGAGTAATCTTTTTACTATATTTAAGAATGCCACCTTTTGAAAGCAATAACAATGAGGATTGAATACTATGCTAAACGTATACAACTTGAGATTTCTGATATAGACCCCACAAAACTTATGAGGATTACTGAACACCAGTTCATAGTTAGTAAGCATTACGATTAGTCCTACGATAAAATATTCGGATCCTAAGAACATTTTAACAAGACTTAAGGCTAAAGGTGTAATACATCCTTACAACAGAAACTCAAAAGCAACACTTGATTTTCTGCTTTTATGGGTTATATTCTGGAGCCGTGCACAAAAGCAAAGTGGACTGCTACCCCATATGCTCGCTTCTTGGTGTACAGATAGAAATGCATATGGCTTAATATGAAAGTCTAGGTTACAGTGAACATAAACACAAAGAATTTTAAACTCAACGTATTTATCTATATCATTAAGAAAATATTGAAAAATTAACCTGATTATCTGCTTCGCCCCATAATAAAGCATTTGATCGGGATTGATAGAATCTATTGATTCATGGGACGAGTGATTATGACCAGGTAAACGACTACGAGGTGCTGAACTAGATATCGGAAGACCACCATGAGAGTGCTCTCCTGGGCTTTTGTTTGACTGTCCAATGGGTTGAGATGAAGACTGATCGGTTGTCATTGATATACCGATTGCAACAAAAAAATCTGTACTCTTACAGAGATGATTTATTCGAAAACAAAATCAGGTTTAGAAACTTATATAAAAGTATATAATACAAATATAACGACACCTCAATAACCAGACACAAGTTCGTTGGGATATTCGTTCTACTTATTATAAAAGGATAGTAACTTGACTTACTAGTCATTTAAGATTAAGTGGTGTTCAGAATAGCGATTTGGTGCACAAAACTAGGTGCTTAGACGACTGAACCCAAATGGGCATACATTAGTTTCTAGTTCAATGTTAAAAACCCACTAATTTTAATGACATTCTTAAATAATTAGGATAATGAAACCAGAAGAAAATGAGCTTACTACAAGATTCCACCATAACTTAACAACCATTACTCAGGAATATATCAGACAAAGTAACTACAATTCTAAAGACAACAATGTGTGGAAAACAAGGTGACTTCACTAAAGCAAATGAATAATTATGTATGCTACTAATGGATCATACCACTCTCAAGCCGTACAAATACAAAGAAACGTTTAATCTATTTAACGGAAAAAAGCATAATTATAATCATTTTGATCCCGAGATAGCATGATGATGCCTAGTAGCCCAAACCGAATTAGTGTATTCAAACCTGCAACCTGCTAGTTGAATGTCGAGTGATTTATTTTATTTTTATTTATTTTAACACATAAACATTGGTACAAAAGGGCGAAAATACATGCGCGCCACACAGTTATCATTGATTTGTGTGAGGGCTGTGATACTGCCCGAGTGCCAAATCGAAGCATATGGTCCTCTTAAGGGGTCACAGCCGGAGCTTTTGACCTAAAGGCCTAATCCACAAGCCAACTTTAAGAGATGCAGTCCCAAGGTAGCCGGTGACCAGCAATAGGTTCTTTCAGGATCCTGGAACCCATGTGCCCCGATGGTTTGGAATCAGGGTTTTCCAACCCCCTTAGATAGATCTTCCAGGTTCACCCGGTTAAAGCGCCAAACATTCGCTTTTCGTCCTTTCAAGTTCGTAAACATCACCCCGTGAGAAAGCAGTCAGTAGAACTTCCCTGGTAGTGGCCGTATACGCGTGGCCATGTGAGAACATCTCGAGAGGGAGAGCTGACTCTCTTGACCCTCGGTCGTACAAGGGCATTTGAGGATTGTCCTACTTGCATTAATAGACTTCTAGTAGTTGGTAATCTGATGATAAAACGAAATTCTCCCCTCAATATATACGAAAACGATTTTGAGCCATCCAGCAATAGCTTTAATGGTCATTGCTTTAGAGGACGGAGAGGCAGATATAAGTAATTAAATTATTACTAAACATGGGAATTGGTGTTATAAAATTGAGCTTTATTTTATGACATGACAAAATAGTTTATGAAGCTCAGCCACTTTATTAATACCTACTAAATGAAAACATCTAAAAGCGAAAGTTTAGTTTGCGGGGCATATACTGAAATATTAAATGCAGTGCTTGAAATGTGAAGTCACGTAATGCAGGCACCGAGTCATAAACACGTCATAATCAAACAACTTAAAATCGTTAAAGGGACTATAAAAAACTCAAAACCTTTTTCGAGAGCAGGTGCATTGAAGCTTAACGTCATTTGAAAGTCATGATCTGGAATCACCCTTATGTTATTTTGTACCAGAATCTGGAGGAATAATGTTTCATCAACATAAGCCCAGATAAATTTATCAGAAAAACTGTTCATTAATCTGCTATTCATAGAAGAGCTAAAAATCAACACTTGGATCATCAGAAAAAAAACAATGAAATGTAGCTTTGAGTTCGTAGTTTAAATACACTGACTTAACCATTTACACTGCTACCTTATTCAGAGCCAAGGATATCTAATATAGATCTACAGGTAGTCAACAAATGTATCGTACAACTTGAGTATATACAGGCACCAGTTCTACTTAAATGAAGGATATCATTCTTACGGCATATGAAACAAATGTACGCTTAAACAATGTTAATGTTTCCGCATTAGATTTTTTAAAAATTTACTACTTCTAGCGTTCAAAGTAATATAAAAATATATTTTTTACTGCTCAACATACGTGTGACCATCAGCATTTGGTAAGTTTTCATCTAAAATGAAGGTACCATGTATGCTGTGGGAGTGTGCGGAGCAGTGAGAGTGGACGGTTCAGTAAGTATATAGAATGCACTTACATTTAGTAACAAAAGTCTGTTTCAGCTTGGGAAAAACAGAAGACCGAGTGGGCTGTTTTAGTCCTGGCGATAGTGGTCTCTCAGTTAATCCAACTCTCTTTTATATGCGTCAACAGATGAAGCTTCAACTATGTGTTGAGTTGACGAGTTTCATTAGTTGGTGATTCGATAGGAAAGTCTATGGTCACCTGACAAGTAGTTTGTTCTAGGCTTGTCAACGCTTTTAGTATTCTCATAAATTGTCTAATTTGGGAGACAAGAAAAGTGAAAGTACATCAGAGGCGAATTTATAGTTAAATAATTTGGAAATAGAGATCGAATCAATTCAGCTCCTTTTATACAAAATGGGGAATATGTCTATTCTAGCCAGTATCTCGTCATATGGCAGCCTCAACATTCCAAATGTCAACTCAGTGGCCATTCTTTGAACCTTTTACAACACCTCAGTTCATTTTCAGGCAGAGGCTGGCTGTTTGTACGCAGTACTCGAGTTTAGGACGAACAAACATCGAATACAAAGTCAAGAAGGTCTTAGCATATACATGGTTAAATACTCTATGTATGGACAAGATAGTTCTGAAACTCTTAGCAGCTACTGCACAGCAGTGTGCAGTGCTTTACGGATCTTGGCTGAAGATAACTCTTATGTCAATGTGTGTCGGTTCAAAATGTAACTCAATGTTGTTCATTATATGTGTCTCTGTAATCTGGTGACCAATGTGCATCCTAATGCACTCGAAAGCAATTAACGGAAACTGTCGAATTCTAGACCATTCAGGTAGTCTCTCCAGGTCATTCTGCAGCTCTTCCTTTGTCATCGCTCTCTACATCTTGCCAGTGTTGGCATAAACGAAGCCAATGATAGAATAGGAAAGTTATATACAAATGGGAAGAATGACATAGTTCACCAGATAGATAACCTGGAGTTGACGCCCAACTGGCAAGTCCCTTGCCCACACAAATAATTTACCTCCAATCTTGATACCGCTTAACTCAGATAACAGTATTGTGTAAATGATAACTACATTTATAGGTAGCCTTAAGTCCCTTTGAGCACGACTTTCATGGACTACTAATACCTTTCTGAGACATGAATAACCCGGCTTGAGACGGTGCCATCTTTCGGGAAGGATTGAGATTTTGTTTAGATACTTCAGTATGTTTGGAAAGGACAGGAGGCTTAATGGCCTGTGTTAGTCCTGGAAACGGTGGTCTCTCAGTTGATCCAACTTTTTTTTGAAAGAGTCGACGGATGAAGCCTCAACCATGTACTGAGGCAATGAATTCCACTCGTTGATGATTCGATGGGGAAGTCGATAGTTAGCTGATAAGTAATTTGTTCTGGTCTTGTGAACTCTTTTGGAGTGTCCTCGTAAATTCTTTGTTTTGGAAGACAAGAAAAATGAGGGCATATCAGGTGCAAATTTATTACTAAGCAATTTGAAAACTGTAATCAAGTCGCCTTCAGTTCTAAGATATGACAACGGTAATAGGTTTAGCTTGACCAGTCGAGCACCATGCGGAAGCTTCGCAATTCCGGGAATCAGCTTAGTTGTTGCTCTCTGAACCTTTTCCAAAGTCTTACTGTCTTTTTTAAGCAGGGGCCAACCGCTTGTATGAAGTACTCAAGTTTAGGACGTACGAACACTGTATACAAAGTCAAAAACCTTTTAGCGCCGACATGCCTAAAGGTCCTATGTACTGACCATAAGGTTCTAAAACCTGTGGCGGCTATTGCACGTATTTATTTATTTGAACACATAAATATTGGTACAAGAGGGCACCAAATATATATCCGCCATACAAAAAATGGTAATTTGAAGGGAAGGAAAAAGGGTGAGGAGTGTAAAAAAACAATAACGAACAATAAGGTAAGGTAGCGTAATAATAATAATGGGGAAAACGAAAAGGTACAATCAGAAGAGATCTTCCAGGTAAAGAAGAAGCAACCACTTTTTATGAAAGTAAAAGAGTACAGCAGGATCGCCACTGGCTTCTATTCTAAGCCATATCTGATAACGTCTCTAGCCACTGTGTTGCACCATCTCTCGGACCCCAGCCAGGGAGTCGTAAAGGACCAACATAAGCCAGCCGTTTGCAGATTTTTTCCATACCACGACACCATGTCATACATACATTGCACGGCAGTGTGTAGTAGTCTTGGCTAACGATAACTCCTAAGTCATTATGTGTCTGGATAACAATTAGCTCATTGTTATTCGTCGTGTATGTATCTGTACCTTGATGACCGATATGCATCACAACACACTTGGAAGTATTTATCGGCAACTGCCAGGTTTGAGACCATTCAGATAATTTCTTCAGGTCATTTTGGAGTTCTAAGCAATCACCGTTACATCTTATCGTTCTCTATATCTTGACATCATCAGCATATAGCAAGACCGATGATGATGGGAGATGAGGAAGGTCATTTACATACAAGAGGAATAGCATTGGCCCCAAAACTGTACCCTGGGGCACTCCACCAAGCACATTTCCCCAGCTAGATAACTTGGAGTTCATCCGCACTCTTTGTTGGCGCCCAACTAAGTCTTTTATCCACATCGAAAGATTGCCTCTAATTCCGACATTTCTTAGCTTATATAATAGCCGTTGGTGAGGAACTTTGTCAAAAGCTTAGCTGAAATCTATGTAGGCTACGTCTACAGGTAACTTTTGGTCCTTAATAGCGGACCAGCTTTCACGAGTGACTAATAAGTTAGTGAGACAAGAATAACCTATTCTGAAAACGTGCTGCTTCCCCGAAAGGATCCGCTTTTCATCGAGGTACTTAAACAGCTCCTTCCGAATAATTTTTTCTAAGATTTTAACAACCACACTAGTTAGGCTAACGGGTTGGTAAGTCTCAGGTTCATGTTTCGTACCTGTTTCGAATACAGGACTTACTATGGCGTTCTTCCAGTCTTTAAGTAAACGACCCTGCGTCACCGATAGATTAGAGCATATACTTAAAGGGTTCGCAACGAAGTTGGATAATTCCTTTAAAAGCCTAGGATACAATTAATCGGGCCCCGTGGATTTACCTATGTCAAGCTTATTTAGCAGACCAAAGGCTTCGAGTTCTTTAATGGTCACGCTATCCAGCGTATGTGTGGGGGATTTGTATGCGCTGACGGGAAGGGTGTTTCTACGGTATATACACTGCTAAAGTAGTTTGAGAACACTTGAGCCTTACCAAAGTCGTCCTCCACTAATGATGCGGCAGTACTGTCTCCCCATAGTGCAGAAATACTTCCTCTTCCTTTTGTCCTTTGATTTATATCGAAATGCAGGCGTTTAGGACATTCTATGGATTCCTTAACAATTTTTTCTTCGTACAATTTTCTAGACTTACGGAGGGTCGAGGCTCAGTTATTCCGAGCTTTTCGATACTAATATTTTACCTCATCAGTGCCTAGTAACCTAAATCTATCCCACATTTTTCTCTTACGGAGAAGGACGCGGAACTCCCTACTGATCCATAGTGGAGAGCTTCTCGGTCCCCTTGGTACAATCCAAGGGATGTGGGGTGCGGTAACTTTTAAGTATAAATGCGTCCCAACTCGTTTCAATTGAGGACTCTGGGTCTATTGTCCAATCTACTAACGATGCTGAGTGCATGATATCTGGTGTCTTTGCTTTCCAGTCGTTAGGTCTGGATTGAGCTAGCGCGTGCCCGTGATTGACAGTTATATAGAAGTCAAAAGTTAAAACAGCGTGATCAATTTTACCTAGGGGTGGCATGTAATGGAGGTTCGCAACGTCATCCTCATAGTGAGCCGATATAAGATCTAATAAGGATGATTCAGAGTCAACGTCGTACCTATTCGCTTCTTTCACATGTTGCACTAGGGCACGTGATAACTGCATCAACTAGTTCCTGCTCGAAGGAATCACCTGACGATTCCATTCGCAAATTTTCCCAGTCTACCTTAGCTGTATTAAAGTTTCCTAGGATTAGACATCGACCACTTTGTGACCAAGTATTGAGACTGCTTAGCAGGACCTCATTCACCTCACAGCTTGGAATGAGATAGACCAAACCAATCAGCAGCTCTCACCCCTTGCATTTCAAGCGGTAACTAACTAATCCACACGTCCCATTCTCATAGGACACACTGTCGATAATGGCCTATGGGACAGAATTCCTAAAGAATAGAGCTACTCCTCCTCCTCTATGCTTTTGTATTCGGTCAGCCCTTACTGACGTAAAACCCTCGCAATCAAATTCCATACTATCTATAGACCGTGCCAGCCATGTTTCTGTGACTGTGATTATGTCTGGCTTTGTAGAGTCAATCTGTACATTTAGTTCCAATCGCTTATTAGGCTTTGGGCATTAGTGCAACAGATCCAAAGCCTATTGAAGTGGTTTCGTGCTTCATCCAGAGTGAATTCGGCATCATTCTCATCATTTTGATAAAGATCAAGTGTTATCTAATTACTTTAGCAGTGTATATAATGCACAGATGTTCTTGCCTTCAGTTCATACGAATCCAAAGTCTGGACACTGACACCTTCGAAGAACTCGATGACTTTCAACTACTAAATAAGCTTTATATAAACGGACTCTGAATTATTAATGAAACTGGCAAAATTGGAGATACTAAACTGACAGACCACCTTTGAACGACGTTAAGTAACGCCAAGTTTCAAAATCGTTACGTATGTACATCATGAGATTTGTGTTAAATGGTTTAAATGGTTGTGGACGGAATAAAAGAAGCTTTCGCTTAACAGGCTTTCGTGTCTAGTAGCAGGGGATCACCAAATCCTCCAGGCAGGAACCTAGGTATGTTAACAATAAAAGAGGAAAAGAAATTGGTAAATCATAGTGTGATACTGTCCTTGGTCCTTAAGAATAGGTCAAGTTGCCTCTTGAAGGACTCCTGAGAAGTCGCTTGGACTAGCTCGGCTAGCAGCGAATTCCAGCATTTGACAACTCTTAAGGAGTAGAAGTTTTGTCTACATTCCGTCTTGCTATGTTGTGTTTCCAGTTTCTGGGTGTTACCCCTTAGGTTATTATTCGAACTAAGCTTAAGTAGGTGTTTAAGAGGATGTCCAGAAGTGTTAAGAATACTATAAGCCATAAGTAAGTCATCTGTAAGACGCCTATACTCTAATGGGTAAAGGTCTAGTGAATGGAGGCGTTCTTCGTAAGGCTTAGATTTGAGTCCTCGAACTGATTTCGTGGCTCGCCGTTGGATACGCTCCAAAGTGACCTTGTCTTTTAGGAGTGAGGGGGGAGTACTATGTTTCCGTACTCTAAATGGGGACGGATAAAACTATTGAAGATTGTATGGAAAGTTCTTCCGTCAAACTGGCCAAAAATGCACTTCAACGTTACCAGTGCAAGGTTTGCTCGGAAGGCATTTTTGTCACAATTAGCATAAGACTTTAAATCATGGGGCACCAGGACTCCTAAATCTTTTTCGACTTGGGATACTATTAGAGAGGAGTTTCCTAAGTTGTAACAATAGTTTGCGACATGTCGCAGATGAACTACTTTACACTTTGAAGTGTTAAAGCTAAGTTCGTTATAGTCTGCCCAACTTTGAAGTCCAGTCAGATCCTCCTGAAGTCGTCTTGGTTGCGTATCTCTCTCCAAAGTTTCACATCGTCGGCAAAAAGTAATGAGTCTGACGTTACCTGTTGAGGAAGATCATTTATGTAGACCAAGAAGAGAAGAGGCCCTAAAACTGAGGCCTGGGGGACCCCACTAGGACATTCCATCGCCTGAGATAAGGTTAAATTAATCCTAACCTTAAAGTGTCGATCTACTAGGTATGAAGTAAGCCAGTCGATTAGAGGTGGTTTGATACCTAGTCGTTTGAGCTTATTGATAAAGCACAAGTGGTTAACTTTATCAAAAGCTTTTGAGAAATCAAGGTAAATGATATCAACCTTTCCCTTGAGATCGAGGATGCTTGTTCATCTGTCCACTGAAGTCAGCAGGTTGGTTATACAAGAGTAACCCTTCCTGAAACCGTGCTGTTGGGGTGAGAAGAAATTTAAGGACTGTAGATAGTCGTTTAAACCATCGCATATCAGGGACTCCACGAGTTTTGAAGGTAATGACAGAAGAGCCACCGGCCGATTACTTGAAGGTTCATTGTGTCGACCCCCTTTGAAAATTGGTGTGGTGTGAGCCAACTTCCAATTTTCCGGTAATTCGCCCTGGCTTAGTGAGTGTGAAAACATCACGCTAAGCGGCGTTGCCAGGATTGAAGCTGCCTCCCTCAGTATGGCAGAATGAACCATATCCGGGCCAGGAGAAGTATCTAGTCTTAAGTGCTGCAGTTTCCGGAACACCAAGTCAGCGCTTAGGTCCACTTCGGAAAGTCCTGTGGAATTGCAGATGAAACTGTCGTCAATAAAGTTGATGTCAGCCGGCTGAAATGTTTGAGAGTAATGTGCCGCCAGAAGGTTAGCGGCGTCACCATCGTTGTTGGTCGGGCGGTTAAGACCTAGCAGTTGAGAAACTCCTGTTTTGGCTTGACGAAGAGAGGCTGCATAACGGAATAGGCTTCTAGGGTTAGAGGCAAATTTGTCCATAAGCTTTGTCTGGTACTGAAGCCTGTCTTCTCTTATAGCCTTCGTGCATATATACCTGATATATTTATATTGCCTATACGCTCCGTCGTTATTAGTTCGTTTGTATTCCGCCCAACAGTGCCTTTTGCGGCTTAGCAGGCGAAGCGTACGGTTCTTGATTACTGTAGGTGGCTTGCAGCTTTTGGGAACCGTTTGAGGAACTGAATGTTTTGTAGCACATAAGAGCGTGTGCAGTAAGAAGTTCCAGTGACCGTCCACATCGAGTTGGGGGTGAACATCCCAAACCACCTGTTGTAGATAGTCATGTAGAGCTGACACGTTCAATTGTTTGAAATTCCAGCGCAAGTTGTTTGTGGGATGTTTTAGCTCAGTTTTGCTGACGAAACTGAAAGCCATAACGACGTGATCGCTTTTTCCCAGGAGAACCAGGATTGAGAGGTTGTGAACTCGGAATTCTTCGTTCGTAAATACACAGTCTAAGCGATAGTGTCTGACTGTTTCTCCAACGAGTTGCCGACCTCACATTTTCATATAAGCCCAAGTCATCAATGAGGTTGCAGAACCGAGATTTAACCGGGTTGTCGCCTCCAGTATACGTGTGTTCCGGGAAGTTGACTCTAGGGAGATTAAAGTCCCCTAGAATCAGGATGTGTGTGAAACCGAGACGAGTAGAACAGGATAGTCCTTCCAGCATACGACTGTCGTACTCGATGTCGGCAGTTGGCTTCCTGTAAATGACACCTCGAAGTACTGAACAATCTTACAGAGCACCATATGGATTCCTCAAGATTGTTAAACTCGAGGTTGTGAACTTGGTGCACCTCCAAGCAACAGCTTATGTACATGGCTACTCCGCCCCCGATTCCTGTTATTCTGTCGTTGCGGAACAAAGTCATCCCAGGTAATGCTAACTCGTGGTCCGAGAACTGAGAAGATATCCAGGTTTCAGATATTCCTATCAGGTGAGCTTTATTAGCGTTGCTTAGTTCACGTAATTCATCCAGTTTGTTTGGTAGACTCGAGGCGTTCATATATAAGCAGTTTATGCTTTCATTTTGGAACGCGTGAGCTTCGTCCTGTTCGCCTGTATGAGTCTTATGTGAATGGACAGGTAGCCCATCTATGTGAGGTTTACCGAGGTGGTAAACCCTGTCCTTTGCACGTTTTTTTATCATTTAGACAGTCCACAAGTGGAATGGTCAGCTCCAACCTGCCTTTGTGCTTGGTCCTCGCTTCATATGGCCTATCCGGGTGCATGTGGATTTCAGGTGACAATCGACGTCTGTTGGCACGAAATTCTTCCAGAACTGCAGCCGCCGTGTGGGAAGATGGGAAGGTTATCTTCATTAGACGGGGTCTAAGATCACCGTCTTTCTTGGCTAATCTCGTCACATGCTGAGTCAGTATGTGTTTGAGCCTCAAGGACTGTTTGATGAATTTACATTCCCTGATGTCAAAAATTGATTGAGTAGGGTCTGCATTTTCCGGTATACCTTGCACAGTTATGTTTCTTCCGCGGAAAAACTCGCGAGATTCTTCAGCGTAGTTTCGTATGATATTGCGCTCAGAGTACGGTATGTCGGGCAATATTCTTACGTTACCATCTGATTTCAGTAAGTGACTTGCTAGTAAGACGTCCTCTACATCGGTAGCATTCTTAAGTGTTACTCGGAGAAGCCATGAGTTATTATTATTATTATTATTATTATTCACAAACATCTTATGGGTACATAAGTGTTGTGAAGAAACCATTTCGGTTTTCTTCAGAAAATGCAATAATACACAATTTTCAATAATGTTAGCATTATACTTGCCATATTTAAAAAATAAAATAAAATATTTAAAAAAAAATTTAGAATAATAATAGTAGAATATTAATAATAATAAATTGGGTCTGTGTAATTGAGGAGAATATTGAATTGAGTTTAAAGAAGGAAATGGAGAAAATAAGGGAATAGAAATAAAGGAGACGTGAAATAAGCAAACAGTCTAATAGGCGTGTTTATGAACAGAGAAGAAGAAAAAAACGACCATGTGTGTATCGTTAAATTAGTAACAAAAAATAATTTATCATTGTAGTAAGATATGACGCTAGAATTGACGTTTGTGCAGTCATAGTTAAGAATGATGCTATGAAAGTCACAATTAAGTGAAAAGGATAATAAAATATCACTCTGTATGAGTCATATATGCATAGTGAAGATAAAACTAATCTGAGAAGTTAATTTAAAGTGTAACACAAGTTATTGTCTTAATTAGAAACTTCATAATCTTAAGAATAAGATTTATTTAGAAGGGAAGAAGAGAGAGAAAAGAAGTGAACACCTAGTGAAAAGGTTCATCCATGATAAGAATAATAATTGTGTAATGAATATCAACCTCAGAAGGAAACCAGCAATTGAAAAAATAAAAATCCTTTAAAGCACTCGGATGAATACATTTAGATTTATGTAATAGTATACAGAATGAAACCGGATATTAGTATAAATATTTGTGCAATAATAATTAGGATTGATGCTATGAAAGTCAAAATGATTTCAAAGGACAATCTGGAGTTAAATATGTTTGGAAGGATAAGAAGAGATAAAGAGAATATCTAATGTGTTGGGGAATTAATAACGGTAATAATGATAAACACGAACATAAGCAGACTTCGTATATTAAGATAAAGAGAAATAATACAAAATAAACGTGAAAAGATTTAAAGGTTTTATTTTGCTTTTCAAGCAATTAAATAGATGACGGACCTTGTTTGTATAAATCATTATTGAATACATTGATATTCAATAGGTGGCATAATCCACTTTCGGAAAGAAAATCGTCAAGGAGACTTTTGAACCGGGTTGTAGTTTCACTGCAACGGAGGTTCACTGGCAGTCTGTTCCACATGGTTGAGTAGCGAATAAGGAAAAAATTCTGACGTAAGTTTGTGTGGGTTCTTGGAATCGCTAGAATGTTCTCCTTATTTCGTAGATTGTGGGATGATATTATAAGGTATGAAGGGGTGGATACCGATGAGTAGGAAATACCGTTAATGAGCCGGTAGATAAAGACAAGATTTAATTTGATACGTCTGATCCAAAGAGGTTCTAAGTTGAGTTGTTGACATCTTTGTTATCGGAAC